AATTAAAGCCAATGATAAAGCAGCTTGGTGATGCCCTTACCCTTCATATTCAGATCCTATATCAGGCAATTTATCCCTACTGACTTGTGAAAGGTAACTCCTTAGGAAGAGACCACGTAATGGATGTTGTATGCTACGGCACATTTCCACCAGATCTTTGAGAATATCCTTGGCAGGAGCCTCCTTTGATTTAATGTACACTGAACCCACTGTACAAAGGAGATACCTAAGGAAGAAAAAGCAGGTATGAAAACCTGAATACAGACATGCAAATGATATAAGAACAGAATTAGCATAAGATTAAGAAGGCAACCAGTGCCTTCTATACTTTTATTCTTGATAACTGTGGTATTCGGGCAGCTTGCGCCCATCTTGACTAATTCCGCGGATAGTTGCTACCTACCACCCACGATAGGTACCGGAGTTTGTCCACCAAGGCTAGAAATAAATCACCTAGTTTTTTGTCTTTCTGGGATTTGAACCCGAGACCTCATGGTTCTTGATCCACTTCATTGACCACTAGGCCACACCCTTGGGTGCCAGTGACTTGTATACTAGTAAACACCAATCTGAGTGCATTTCAATTCTCTTAACTCAAGATAACAGGAATAATGAAATCAAGTTCCATATAACAGTATTAGCATTTCGTTATATTCAAGGTACGTAACCGAAAAGTAAAGGTACAAAGGTATCAAGTGTCCTTATAAGCATTCCACTATTTTGTATCATCATCTTGAATGCAATCAGTCCTATTATACTAGTAATGATATAGGTTCCCTACTTTTTGGTATACTACGTGGAACAAGGTTTCATTCCCCCAGGATATCAACAAAATGTTACTTTATCAAGAAAAGAAAATGTATGACCCAAATTTGGGACAGTATCTCAGCGTCCCTGGACAGGAAACTTGAGATCTTCAGCTATACTTGTGACAACCTCCTGTTCCAGTTGCTATCTATAAGTACTGCAAAGCAAGCATAATACCTACGAATTCTTCCCAGTATGAAAAGCAATCACCAATTCACAAAAGATTTGCTAAGTTTACTTTGTGAAAAGATACTGGCCTATTGCTAATTACCATATGCTTGCTTTCCTAAAAATTCACATATATATAATGGACGTTTTCCAGTTAGAAATACTCTAAATGCAACTTCAAGCAGATTCTCAGTTCCTGAGATGCTAGGGCAGTGAAACTTGCAGTCAACTTTAGTGCTAAACAAAACATAGAGACAGATGTCAGTGAACAGTTTAAAAGAAAACAACCAGAAGGTCAAAAGCACTTTAGTGTTACGAGTCAAATGGACCAGAATACAATCATGTGATTGGTAGTAAGACCAATGTCTCTTGCTTCCCAAGTTGTGGTGAAGTCATTACTCGACCAGGTCCTCCTCGTGGTGAACACCTTATGAGATTTAGTCAAAAGTAGTTACATCTTTGCTTAAAATGTGGAAGTGTTGTTTGTGGAATTTGGTTTTCCAGCTAGCCTAATGATACTCAGAGTTGTGAGGACTGAAACGTCCAACTGGTAGCTTCTTCCTTGACCCATGTAGGTTAAACCCAATTGACTAACCCAATCTGGTTCTAAATCTATGGTGTTAGCAGATTAAATATTTATATTAAGACTACAAGTTTAAGCAAATTATTCTTTTACCAGTAAAAAATAAGATCCATTGATGACCAAACAGCAGTATGGAATACTTAAAATAGGATTAAAAAGAAAAAGCTATATGTTTGAATCTGTCCTTGTGAAGACTATGTAGTGTCTCACAAAGCTTCAGCCTAATTTGCATACTCCACTTCATACCAATTGGAAAACAAAATTAGACAGGTTTTACATTCCAAAGTGGATTAGAACTCTCTACAGATCATCTTGAGTTCCTTTCCTTCCATAATTAAGCTTCCAGAAATAGGAGTAACATAGGAACATAACAACTTACAATCTAGGCAAAATGTTGCCAGCGTGCTGCACGAGCTCATACAACTCAACAATGGAGCAGCCACGATTTGTCTCCTCTCTGAAGAAGATCTCTAATTTCCTCAATTCATCAAATGCGCGCATATCTAACAAATCAAAGAGCACAATTCCAATACTGCAGTTAAAGGATCTCCGAGTTCCAACTTATAAAGTACGAGCAGATCCGATCAGTGAAAACCACTTACATAGTTCATAGTATTTGTGAGGAGAAAGCTTGGAAGTTCGGAGCTCCGAGAGCATCTGAGCCGAGTATTTCAATGCATCTTTCAGATTGTTCGAGTCCTGAAAACTCAAAATTAGGGGTTTTAAACACCAAAAATCTCAATTTAACATGTAAAATTGAATTAGAAGCTTTAAGGATATACAAGAGCGCGATGCATGTAAAATGCGTTCTGCTGAAGGCCGGCGATCCCAGCGGCAAGCCACTTCTCTTCGTCTTCGACTCCATTAGTTATCATATTGGATCTTTCCTGGTAAATTTGGGAGATTTGGAGTTCGTTTTTGCTGCAACTGCTAGTGAGGATCCTTCTCTATATTGGAGTGGTCGTGCAATTCCAAGTTTGATTCTAAACTCTGTACAAACGTTAAGACCGATTTCTAATTTTCCCTTCTTCCTCTCAGGAGTCAAATTTACTTTTCTTTTTATTTATATATATATTACTCACCCCCTCTCATATTAGATGGCTTTCTATTTTACACAAGGTCATTAAGAAATAATTGATAAATTACTTTATTTTATTATTTTACCCTTTTATCATATAAATTAGTCTCTTGAAAAATTAATTGTACTGTAGGGGTATAATAATAAGAAAATTATCTAATTAAGCAAACATCTAATATATACTTATAATACATTATTATACTTTTTAAAAGAATCACACGTATAGCTCTAGTTAAGGATTTTATAATTATTTTCTCTCTTCTCTCTTAAATATATAAATTATTTTGAGTGATATAAAATGTTAAATTGATACTATTGTTTTCACTGATATTATCTATTTATTTTTTGATATAAATTGCATTTTGTTAATGCATATAGATACTAATTAAATGTATACAATTAATTATAAGATATACAAATGCAATGATAATTGATTCATATACATATTAGTTATGAATATATAATTATCTAACATATATACAAGTATATTTTGTCTTTCTCTTCTCCCTCACTTCTCTTTTTTCTTTCTTAATCTCGTTCACCTCTCTCCCCTGATCTAACACGTACCTACAATTCGTAATTAACCAAAATATAACTATTTTATAGGATTATATTTAGTATTAGCTATTTTTGAAATTTCATCCTTATTTAGTCGGAGTAATTATTTTTTTCCTTAAATATGGGGAAGGATCGATAAAGTTCAGAAGTAAAAAAAGATTAACATACACATTACTTGAAACAAATATTTTTGTCGTTGCAAATAAGTGAAAAATTATTTTTTAAAAAAAGGTTTTTTATTTATTTTTTGTCGAACTAGTACACTTGAAAAATTATAGAATGTATATAAATACTTGATGAAAATAGTAGGAAATTTTCTAATTTTTCCGTACAAAAATATAAGTGTTTTCTTTTTCATCAACTAAATCAAAATATATACTTAAAACAAATATTTTTACCATTTAAAAACATAAATTTTTCATTTATTTTTCACTGAATGAGTTCACTCGAAGAAGTGGATATATGTTCTTAATGAAAATAGTGGGAAATTTCCAATTATTTCATACAAAAATATTAGTGTTAATTTTTTTCTTTTTTCATCAATTCAATCAAAATATATACATACTTGAAATAAATATTTTTATTATTGCAAATAAATGAAAAAATATATATATCTTAAAATAAAAACTTTTCATTTATCGTTCATCAAAAAGGAATTCACTTAAAAAATACATGATGAATGTAGATTCTTAACGAAAATAGAAGAAAATTTCCTAATTTTTCATATGAAATTATTGATATTTTTTCTTTTTTTATTAATTTAATCAAAATATTTACGAATGAGTGGCTATCGGACATTTTCCAGCGAGGTATTCCTTTATTTTAATGCTAGTATATAGTATTTTTTAAGAAATAACCTTTTAAAATCAGAGTAGCATAAGCTATTACAACTACTTTCTAAAATAAAGATCATTAAAATTTGCAAAACAGAAAATACCATATTGTCCTAGCAGTGTTTCCTCCGTAACATTTGTATTTTTGTTGAAAGTGAATATTTAGAAATTAAATAGACTTTGACATATGAGTCGATTATATTTTGAAATTATGAAAATGAGTGATCAAAAATTATTAAACGTCTTCTCATTTTTTGATAACGATGATCAGAACTCAGAGATATAAAACAAAATATATATTCTGATAAGGTAAATATCATTGAATATAATTCATACGTAAAGAATATAATATCTAATAAAACATGATAGGAAAATTAAATGGTAACTTCATTGCTTTTAATTTTCCCATGATGTTTGAATGTTTTTTCTTCCCTTGGTCTTGTGTAATTTAAATACTTAAAATTAAAGTGTGAACACTCATATTTTATTCCACCTTCATCCCTCTAGTTATTATCTTCTGTTCTATAAATGTTTTTCTGATTCGGAGAAAAGAAAAAAAAATGTGTGTATATATATATATATAAAAATGTTGTTCTTCATGAATATTGTGAATTAACAAAGCATAGTATCACTTACTCCCTCATTTTTATGCATATATAATTTAAAAAAAACATGTTTTATGTTTCATCTCATAATTAAATATCAGATAGATAGTCAAATTAGAAGGAAGTTCTATGTTTAAATAAAATGAAATATATTTGTATTCAATTTAGTTATTGACATGAAAAAGGAAATCAAATATATTAGATCGCCTGATAAATTTAATAATTAATAACTTGCTCTACTTATATACATGTCCTTCCAAGCCGTTCACCGATGAAGTCCTATTATCTAAGGATACTATTCATTACATGTATACATATAATTCGAGCGAGTAAAAATGAAACATTGTAAAAAGAAACCAGACCAGAGAGATTCATGAAAATAATATCAATATTCACGAAATTAGATTAATATTTTACAACTGTCATAATATTTAACATACTACTTACAAGATCAAGTAAACCTTATTAATACAAGTTTACATCGACTAGTTAATTTATTGCACGCATCACTTGCAGCTAAAAATCCATAAAAGTCCCTACTCTACCGTAAGAAAGTATATAATATATGACTAGCTTTTTTGCTCAATTTTGATCACTCTCACATGATAATGCAGGCTTGAGGATTTTCATCACTAAAAGCAGTAATATAGTTGACTTCAGTAGAACTCGCCCTCGCCAGGTTCGAAACCTGCGGGTTATCATAGACGTTGCGGACGTATCCTGGCGGAGCCTTCTTATCATAGACGCCCCGCACGTAGGGATGATCCACCAGATCGTAAGGAACGTATGGCCAAAATTCAGCCTTCTTTCCCGTACGATGTCTTACTCGTCGCAATACTTTATCTGGATCAACATAACCAATAACTGTCAGCTTGTGCTTCTTTGGCTCCACTTCTACTTTCGTCACCCCTCTCATCCCTTGTACAGACTTCCTCACCCTCCTTTCGCACCCTTCGCAGTCCATTTTCACTCGTATCTCCACTGTCTACACATTTTTAATATATCATCAGAAACAGATGCATACAGCTTGTTTGGTTTAAATTGAAGCATGCACGTACCTCAAGTTGATTTCTCCAAAGTTTGCTGAGCTTCCTTCTGCTGGTGCCTCGATGGAATTCACAGAGCTCAGAAAGATGATCTAGAAAACCCATTTCCGTGGTGCACACAAATCAGCAAGACGAACTCTTAAAACAAAATACCAATATATATATATGGACAGTAACCAAGACGGTGTAAGAGTATATATATAATTAGTAGGGGCAGCAGCTTATCAAATAGTTGATTTGTACGTGCAGCTTGTACAAATAAGCCACGGGTGGTGCCAGACGGAACTATATGTGGCAATTCTGGGGTCTTCATATAGTGGGAATCTTAGCCTTATCCTCTTATTGCATGTTCCCCACATAAAAAAAAAGGGTTATGTCATTTACACGGTTAATGGTGAAAATCAAATGTCATCGCAGTCTTAATAACATCTGACCCACTCCACTCCAACTGTTTTTGACTTAAAATCGTACTAAATGGATCGATAATTGTGTGATTAGAAAAAAACAAATAAAGAGAATTGAGTCCATGGCTAGTATGACATTTGCAACGGGTCAAATAGACTTGGATCATAGTATAATTTTAGCCAAAAGTCATATAGTGGCCGTTCCAGAGATGATTAATGGGGTGTTATAAGTTGATGATTACCATTCTAAAAGATAATTACTATGTCACATCAAACAATCTTGGCAAATTGAAGGGATTTACTTTTTCCTCTTCTATATCAAAACCATAATTCACATTAGGCGAAAGATTTAAAGATTATGAGTGTACCAATATAAACATAGCTTAAATATAAAATATAAGCTAAATTTAAAATAAAAATAAATTTAAGCAGGATTTAAACTCTAATCTAGAGTGTGATATCTCTATCTTCTATTAATTGCTCAAGAGTATTTTTATATTTTTTTATGAGTGCACTATTAATTATATCGTACTTTCTATCAATTTCTCAAAATATATATATATATATATATATATATGATTTTTTCAAAAGTTATCACGTGCACATAAACCCCCACAAACATAGGATGGTCCGCCCTTGAATCACATCAAACAGTAGGATTTACATTTAATTTATCATGTACTAAGCACTCCTCTCATTTTACTATACCCTATACAAACAGCTTCTAACATGCATAACACTTCTAAAGCCAAGAATCTTTAACTAGGTCCTTAAAGTTGAATCTACTTTAATTTTTATTCCTGGTCCCCTTAATAAGGAAAAAGAAAGAAGTAGATACAGACCCATCGACGTGTCTATGTAATACACTCTTCGTTCGAAATTATTTATCATATTATATTTATCAAAAGTCAATTTAATTAATTTTTAAAAGTAAATTAGATTACATTAATTCAATATTTTAAATAAAAAAGTTAAATATTCTAAAACTATATAAAAAAAATACTATAAAATTATAATTTTTTACTTATTAATATGATGAAAAATGCATCTTAAAATGTTAGTCAAAGTTTTAATTGTTTGACTCTAAAAATATAAAAATAATTACGAAGGGAATAAAAGCTACCAAACAAAATTTACAAAGAAATTCCAACTAATTATGCTAAAACTCGAGCAAATAATTATGAGAATAACAAAGAGTTAATTCTACACGTCCTCATTTATTTGATTCGTCGCTCTGCCTTAAAAAACTTAGCTACAAAGAAATGTAAGAGAAGACTTATTGTGAGACATGTTAACAAGACGACAAAATAAGAGGAAGAAGAAGAAAAGTGAAGTCAGCTGGAAGCAATATATATTCACTTCTTAAAGTTTTGGTTAAATATTATAAATAATTTAATAAGTATTGTTGCTTTGGTTAATTAGATAGAGCGGTTGAAACTGAAGCTCGATATTTATCGTAATAAAATTGGTTCTCCGAGATTTAAAATAAGCCTTAACTAATTAAATATATATTGTATGAGGTAGAGTGTATGGTTAACATTATGCAGGTGTGGTTTGTATAAATCTATGCATTACTTTCGAAAATATATATAGTTGTGATATATTTTTATTCTAAAAAAAATATAAATTTATAAAATTCATATTCGAAGCATTATATAATGCAGTGATAATCGGAAAATGCACCTCTTAAAGTAAGGTTAAAAATCTGAATTTTATATCTATTTTATTTTATTTTTCTTTTTTAAAATTAAGCAATTAACACCATTTTAAATGGTTAGTAGTAGCATTTTTAGTATTTTAGTTTTGGACCTATTATTATAAAATATTAAATTTTTCGATGATAAGAATCTGAACGTCAAATCAATAAAAAAAATTATATCTAAGATCATCTTTTCATTGTAAGAAAGTCATTTCTCTTTTAAAAATACCTCAAACTATCCATATTAGGAGTGCATTGTCTTGTTGCCTGTCCATACCAGTAGTTAGTAGTATTACACATGCAGTTTTTTGTAGTTACTGTCTGATGTTTTTCGTATTTCAATTATCGTATTATTTTATTGTAGTATTGTATTGTTACTATTTGTTGTTCATATTACTATTTGTTGTTTCTTGTATTTTTTATTACTTCTTTTTCTGAATTGTTTTGAACTGTTTTTCCTTAAGCTGACAGTATAATGGAAACATCCTATTTAACTCTGACGTATTATACAATATGCGTACACTTTACCCTCTCCATACTCACATTGTGAGACTATATTGACTATGTTGTTGTATTTAGACATTTAAAGTATCACCAAGAGCTATTCTTAAACCATATTACACGACTTAACTACATATAAACAATCAAAATTAACAGCTAAACCCCAAAATTCAAGTACAATAAATTCAGAAACACGCATACACAAAACCAAACAAAACAACAAGGAAGAGTAAGAAATTACTTACCTAAAAAGAGAAGCATAAGCCCTAGCAGATGGAGAAGGAACCACTGATGGAATGGAGGGAAAGTTTATTTGGGCGGGGTGACCTAGGGATTGGCTAAAAGACAGCTTATTTGAATTTGTTTGTAGTGAATCACCCGCCAAAAGCTGTTGTGGGTCGGATATTTCGTCAGTTATTACACGTGTTGTTTTTCTATTAAATGTGTTTTCTGGACTTAATTTAGAATCCTATGTTGGGGCTTCTCCGCTTATGGCGCAGTTTAGTTACTTTTTTTTAAATTTCTCTGTACTTTTCTTACATCTAATCAATTACAAATGGAATAAAAAAAAAATATTTTTTTAAATATACAAAAAGAGAAAAATATATAATTAAGCAAGTTTGAAAAGGGTTATTATTATAATCTCATAATAAAATGTATGTTTATTATATTCTGCATTGGTTAGTGATAATTTTCCATAGGAGTTAATGCTGAAATTATTTATCCACCATTTGCAATATAATTGTAGAATAGATTATTCTATTATAATGGGATAATTAATCTTTTGAAATATTTCAATTTGTGAGATAATTTTGTGTATTTCATCCTCTTACCAACTCCATCTTTTGCTCTATAAGCCCAATAGAGGCCCATAAACTTTCGAAGATCCAGAAATAAAGAGTCCAATTCTTCCTAGTATTTTTTCAAGTCCTAAAAGCAAAAATTACATAAATTAGTACATTAATTATTAATTTTAGCGATACTTTTTAGGGAAAATTATATATAATAGCAAACTAATAATCCAAATTAAATGGAATAGCTAGGGTTTGATTTAATTGTGCTCCATAGCAAACATTAGCTAAAATTTGCCAGCGTCTCTCTCCCAAAATCTCGCTCACCACTCTCCATTCTTGCTCGTCTCTCTCGCTTTATACACAGAAGTGTATAATTCTATTTTTGTTTTGTATAAAGCGAGAGAAAATTGTATATACACATGCAAAAATGTATATCTTCGTGTTATACACTTAATTATACAATTTACAAACATTTTACTTCAAATATTGCAGAGAAAAAGGCCAACAAATTATACAATTGCGAATTATACAATTGCAGTGAAATACAATTTTCTCTAGCTTTGTACAACAGAAGTGTATATATTGTGTTTCTGTTTTTGTATAAAGCGAGAAAAACATATATCTTCTTGATACACACTTATAATTATGCAATATACATACATTTTAATTCGATTCAATTGTATGCAAAATAAATTATACAATTGCAGCGAAATAGGTCAGCGAATTATACAATTTAGGCCAGCGAATTATACAATTGTATATGTATAGCAAATTATACAGTTTTATGTTTGCTATGGAGCGCATTTATGCAAAGTTTGCTATAGCATACAAATATGAATTTTTTGTTTGCTATATGTGAAACTTGACCATTAATCTATTCGTGAGATAATTTTGTGTATCTCATCCTCTTCACCTGACCAACTCCATCTTTTGCTCTATAGGCCCAATAGAGGCCCATAAACTTTCGAAGATCCAGAAATAAAGAGTCCAATTCTTCCTAGTATTTGTTCAAAGTCAGTGTACTTAAAAGAAAAAATTACATAAATTGGTACATTTTAATGAATAATTATTAATTTTAGCGATACTTTTTATTTATTACCACATATAGCAATATTATGTTAAATCTGCAATATGTATTAAAAGCGAATTATGTATGTAATATACACAAATTATAATTATTTTCAAAATATATTATGTTTATTTGTTAAAATTTGACACATTATATTATAAGTGTATTTTAAAATGTGTGATAAATGTATTATCCATCATTGAAACTTGTATTATATGGGAATAATGAATTGTTCTTTGTAATATGTACTATTGTTTGTCATGGTTTTTATTTTTAAAGTCAAACTATAAAAACTTTGACTAACATTTTAATTATATTTTTTCATCATATTAATATGTAAAAAATTGTAATTTATAGTACTTTTCATATAGTTTTAAAATATCAAATGTTTTGTTTAAAATATCGAATTAATGTGATCTAATTTACCTTTGAAAATTAATCAAATTGACTTTCGATAAGTACAACAAGACAAACAATTTCAGACGGAGAGAGTATTAAACTTGTATTATAAATAAATTAAAAGTAATCAAATAAAAAAAAGATTATTATTGCTATAAATGATAAATATTTTTTTTATTATATAGTATATTTATGTAAGTTTTCCACTAAATGGGTTTAAAATCCGTTATTAGAGCTTTGTGATTTCTCTTGAGGGAGAAGGGACAAAACATTAGATTGTCTTTACTCTTTATAATATTCATGTTAAGGTCGCTATT